TGTCCGGAACATACAAACAGTTTGTAAGGCAAATATTTACACCATCATTAAATGCTAGATAAACATTCCCAATTGCCTTGGCAGCAACTCTTGCTCCATTGCCCATCCTTAAGATTGTTTCTTCAGGTTCTAGCATGTTACTACTTGCCATCATCTGCAAATCATTGCAAATATGTGAGCCACAACCGGTATCTAATACCCAAGATCATTAACTGATAAGTTAACTTCAACAAAATAAATACCTGAACTCTTCAGGCTTGCAAGATACTCCTTGCAATTCCTCTTCCAGTGCCCAGTTTTACCACAATGATAACATTCATGATTAGACTGAGGATTAACCTTTTCTTTGTTCTTCCCTTTATCATTATTTTCCTTCTTGTTGGGTTTATTGGGAACCTTTCCCTTCCCCTTCCTCTTCTTAGACTTTAAGGTCTTCGCTTTGAAAGTGGATCCAACAAGAAGCACCGGCTTATCCTTTTTAATTGTGGATTCAGCCTTCTTTAACATGTTCACTAATTATGGCAGAGAAGTCTCCATATAAGCATGTTAAAGTTAACGACAAAGCTGTCAAATGACGGTGGCAGAGATTGCCGCATGAGATCCACATAGAGTTCATTATCCATAATGACTCCAAGGGACAAAAGTCTTTCCACAAGAGCTATCATCTTCAGCCCATGATCATGAACTGAAGAGCTCTCGGTCATACGACACTTGAAAAGTTCCTTAGATATCTGATATCTAATCTGCCGCGTCCTATCACCATACAACTCTTGTAAGTGAAGGAGTATTTCAGAAGCATTATTCAACAATTCGTTCTGTCTCTGCAACTCATTAGACATAGATGCTAACATGTAGCACCGAGCCTGGAGATTGTCATCTGTATGACGTAAATACTCTACATACTCATCAGATGTCTGATCCTCTGGTGGAAGAGGAGGGGCTCTGTCCAGTACATATTCCCTCTTCTCAGACTGAAGAACAATTTTTAGGTTCCTTAGCCAATCGTTAAAGTTGGGTCCAGTTAATTTGTTTTGTTCTAGTATACTTGCGATTGGATTTTTAGCCATTTTCGTAGATTGATCTACAAAATAATAAACGAAGCAGAAAATAGTTAGACTATGGAATTTATATTCAGTTAACATTAGGTCTTTAATATTAAATGTCTCCCACTATTTTAATTAAAACCCATCTTAATTATGAAAATCTAATTTTTCATAGTGGGCTTGAAGTCCAATAAAAATATTCCATATCCCAATTTTCTGAGTACGCATGGAACACTTATATCGGTAGTCAACTTTTGACAATTGTATCGCTATACAACCTTCAAGATATTTTGCCTCACCTTTCCTTATATACCTCAATTTTATGACCGTATATATTACTCAGTGTCAAATCAAACCCATCAAACTTTCATGATAACGGCCCACCAGAGTGTCCCACGACTCATGGTCAACATAAAGAGGAATCCGTTTCATGAGTATCTTTATACTTAATAGGGATCATAGCTTTCGACACAAAACCACCCCACGACTCATGGCCAGTGATAAAGCATCGTAGCATCTCATGTCGCTACTTTTGATGGAAAGCCTGGATTAATAAGTTCTAACTTATTTCTATCCATTATTGATTTGATATAAATTAATCTCATTAATTCTTTAGGATTCCTTAGATCTCATCGATTACCATCTTTACGTTTATTTACCATTTCATCCATCCCATGAATCACAAACATAAATAAACCTAACATACATCTAATGCATGCATTCGGTGGATGATCATGACCTTGCCTATGCGATCCATTCGAGCCAAAATGGATCTATGCCTATGCACGTGATAAAATAAATAAATAGAACTACTTCTATTACAATTTATTTTATCTACCCGTACAAGCACAGGCCTTCGAGTTTTATAACTTGTAAAATTACCCACACAAGCGTGGGCCTTTCGCATCGAACGGTCTCCACCTAGATCTAATCTCTAACGATACAAGAATTTAAAATTTTACAAATCATAACTCAAGAGACTCGCAGGTCTCGATAAATTACATCCATTCAATCTTATTAAAAAATTAAACCATTCAATCATATTGAATTAAAAGGCAACCATTCAATCACAATGCATAATAAAATAGACATTCAATCATATTGAATATGAGGCTCATGATCATCCCATTCATCACATGAATTAAAACATAATAAAAAAAATTATTAAGTCACACGACCAGTGTGACAAAGTCACACGACCAGTGTGAGTCCACACGACCCGTGTGAAAAATCCTTAAGAAAAAAATCAAAATTTTCCTTAAGTCACACGACCCGTGTGGCTCAAGACACGGATCGTGTGTCTCCACACGACTCGTGTGACTATGTCACATGACTCGTGTGAAAATCACGAACCAAAAACAAATTTTTCTTTATACTCACACGACCCGTGTGGCTCATGGACACGGCTCGTGTGAGTCCACACGACGAGTGTGACTTAGTCACACGACCCGTGTGGCTAAAAAATCAAATTTTTTTATTTATTTTGATAATTAATATGTTTATCATATAAACATTTTTAATTATCATATAAACTTAAACAAATCAAAATCTATTTTTAAAGATGATAACCGTGGCTCTGATACCACTGTTGGGTTCGCCTGTACCGTACGGGCTATACGCAGCGGAATTTAAAATTTTTCAAAACAAGTATTTAACACTTAAATACTTAACACGTATATACATATGGCGAATTAACAAATCGTCATCTTTAAAAACATGTAATAATACAAATTTTGATTTGTTACAAGTAATATTAGAAATTACAAGTAATATCAAATATACCTTATAACTTTAACTCCTTCTTCTTGATGGTGGTTGAGGAAATTGGTTCCCGTATTAATAACGAACACTTCGGTTTGCTCGCTTTTAGGAATCCACTTGTCTTCCCTCTAAACGTATCCACCGTTTGCTTCCGACTACGAGATGACTCCTTTGCTAGTAGGAACTCACTCGATTTATAACTTAGTATAGAAATATATAAATAGGAGAATATTACAAGAAAAATTCTTGTTTACAAAAATTAATTACTAACTCTTTATTTCTCAAATTATAAGTGAAAATGTTAACACAAATTCTTGCAAAAATGAACATCAACCATGCCCATATTTATACTAAACTTTTTAGCAATAAAATATATATGACTTGTATAACTTTTACAAGAAATGTTACAAAAGTCTTTAATAATTTTGACAAGTAAAATTAAAAAATCTTTTCTCATTTCTACAAGTTAATACAACAATATAATAATTGCAAGACTCCATCTTGTCATTATTATATTATTATCATTATTATTTAATTTTTAATCAACATTAAAAATCAATAATAATAATAAACAAATAATTTTAAACTCTTTTAAAATCATTTGTAAACATATATATTATATTTAATATTCTCCTTTCATATAATAATCATATTATTATATGGATTTGAATTTTAAAATCCAATTTTAAAATCCAATTATTAATTTAGTAATTACATTAGTCACTAAATTAATATTAATCAATCTAATTGATTAATTTAATATATTTCTTTAATTGACATCTAATCAAAATTAGATTTTGTCAATTAATTCTAACTCTTTAGAAATACTAATATTTGTCTCTATACAAACATTGGTGTGACCTTTTAGGTTCACAATTAATACTAGTAGTGGGTTTACAACTCTTTGTAATTTGAGTTAATCTTATTAACTCTTATTCTTGAATTAACCCCTTTAATTCAAGAACCCACATATCATGGGAACACCTAGCAAGTAGCATGAATCTAGTATTAAGTGAATAGCGAGTAAACCTATTTCGATTACATGTACATACATGTAGAATCCTTTCGACATCCAATTTCTCGATTAAATCTTGGGTATGATTTTAGTCGAAACCCAAATTGATTTAATAACTATGATTCTATTTCATATTTAGTAATCCGTGTATGAATCTCTATTCATCCCGCCTTGGCCAAGGACTTTGAATTACTAACTATGAAACACATAGGAAATTCACTTATCTTCATAAGTGTCGAATCCTTTGTAGGCCACTAACAAACTTCCATACGTATCAACGTAATACCCAAAATATCCCTTTATACGATTGTGCTAGCAACCAAAAGGATAAATCAAAGTAGAATGTAATATGCACAAAGTTACCATTGTGCCTCAAGTCTTAGGATTAGTCATGTACTATTGTAACATGAAAATACTTATTCGACAAGACAAATCTATCATTAAGTATTCTCATACGGTCATGTTCAGTGTACTTGTTCTCTAACAAGCACCCACATATATGTATTTGCGTCGCACGCTAATGTTGATGGAATGCAACATTCTTGTCCAACAAGCATACATACTATGTGCAAGTCTTTTATGGATTATTCGATATCCCATTTCGAAACATCCTTCGACTTGGAACTTTATTTAAAATCACAGCTTTCAAGGTATGTTCCATGATCACCATCTCTATGCGCAACCATACCTTATAACCATAAGTGATTTAGGGATTTTATCTTAAGTGCGATTATAGGATAAAAATTTACACTTAACATAAAGTAATGCCTTATTTACAATATAATTCCAATAGATAGTATTTACAAGTAGAATACGTCCAATCCGATTGGAACGTCGGGTATCCTACTCTAACAGGAGATCCTCGTATAGTAGATGAATGGGTTCAGGGCCTCGAGATTATTTTTGAGGTCATGAACTACCCTGATCGTTACCGCGGGTTATGTGCCCAGATCCAGCTGACCGGTGATGCCCGACTCTGGTGGCATGCCTATTGGAGTATGCGTCCCGGTGAAAAAGACGGTTGTACGTGGGACCAGTTCAAGGAGCTGATCCGAGAGAAGTATTATCCCTCGTATTACCGAGCAGACATGGAGCGCCAATTCTTGGCACTCACCCAGGGTACTCGTTCTGTCGACGAGTACGAAAGAGAGTTTACCCGTCTCGGAGCCTTTGTACCTGATCTTGTGGGTACGGAGGCAAAGAGAGCCCACCGTTTCACCGACGGACTTCACCCAGCAGTCCGCCACAACATTGTAGGTCACGGCGTCCAGACCTACGCCCGCACAGTTGCCATTGCACAAGAAGTCGATGCCAGTATCCGATGAGAAGCCGCCCAGACACCAGCCCAGCCAGTTACTCAGCCACCAGTCCAGCCTAACGTTGCCCAATCATCAAAGAACCAGAAGAAGAGGAAGCTCAGAGGGGGCCCAGACGAACGGAGGACCCGTCCCAGACAGTATCCAGCTTGCCCGACATGTGGGAAGTACCATCGTGGAGAATGCCTTGTGGGCCAGAACATCTGTTTTATTTGCCGCCAGCCAGGCCATATTAGCCCCAACGGTCCAGAACGACTGCAACAACAACAACGTCAACCACCACAGCAACCTCAACCACAGCAGCCCAGGCAGCAGCCACCACGACCACAACAACAACCCCGCGGCAGACAACAGGCCCGCGTCTTTGCAGTTGACCAGAGGGAGGCCGACCAGCACCCAGGTACCATGTCCGGGATGATTATTCTTAATGATGTGTCTGTCTATGCCTTGTTTGATACCGGAGCGACCCATTCTTTTATATCACGTCGATGTCTCAAAGCTATTGGGGTCCGTTCCACTACCGCTGTCGATCCTCTCGAGGTGAGTTTTGCCTCGGGACGAAAGATAGTGACTGACGCTAGAGCCACCGATCTCAGCCTTTCCATCGGTGGCCGTATTCTTATTTTTGATGCTTATGTTATCGAGATGAGGGATTTTGACCTCATACTCGGTATGGATTGGCTAACACATTTTCACGCAGATATCCGATGTCACGACCGGGAGATCACTCTTTATCTTCCGGGAGATGATCAGATCACTTATTATGGCTCATGGACTCGTACTCTGCCTCACGTTATTTCTATGGCGAAAGCCAGAAAGATCCTTCGACGGGGTGATTGCCAGGGTTACCTTGTGAGCCTCGTTGGAGATGAGCCAAAGGCACGTTCACCTCATGACATTCCTATTGTTCGTGAGTTCGTGGACGTGTTTCTAGACCAGCTTCCCGGAGGTCCACATAGCCGACAGGTGGAGTTTTCTATCAATCTTATTCCTGGAGCCGGACCCGTTTCGAAGGCACCGTACAGAATGGCGCCTAAAGAATTACAGGAATTAAAGATCCAAATTCAAGAGTTGCTGAATCTCGGTTTTATACGACCGAGCGTTTCTCCTTGGGGAGCACCAGTTCTTTTTGTCAAGAAGAAAGATGGATCCATGCGTATGTGTATCGACTACCGGGATCTTAACCGGTTGAGGATCAAGAATAAATATCCGCTTCCCAGGATCGATGATTTATTTGATCAGTTGAGGGGTGCCTGCGTGTTTTCCTAGATTGATTTGCGTTCAGGCTACCATCAGCTGAAAATCAAGGATTCAGATATACCTAAGACAGCTTTTCGTACGAGATACGGTCACTTCGAGTTTGTGGTTATGCCGTTTGGCCTCAGTAATGCCCCGGCAGTATTCATGGACTTGATGAACCGTGTATTTCATACTTTTCTCGACCAGTTCGTTATTGTCTTCATCGATGATATTTTTATTTATTCCAAGAGCCAGAAGGAGCACGAGGAGCACCTGAGGGTCGTTCTTTCGACCCATAGATGCAAGAAGATATATGCAAAGTTCTCCAAGTGAGAATTTTGGCTTCAGCGAGTGGCTTTTCTTGGTCACATTATTACTTCAGCAGGTATTGAAGTCGATCCTTCCAAAATTGTTGTAGTCCAGAATTGGTCAGCACCGAAGAATCCATCCGAGGTTCATAGTTTCCTCGGCCTTGCAGGTTATTATCGCAGATTTATTGAGGGGTTCTCGAAGATTGCCCTTCCTTTGTCTCAGCTGACGAGGAAGTCTGTAAAGTTCGAATGGACAGACCGTTGCGAGTCGAGTTTTCAGGAGCTAAAAAGGAGGCTTACGACGGCACTGGTGTTGACTATTCCAGATCCTTCTCGGAGCTTCACCATCTATAGTGATGCTTCGAGGCAGGGTTTGGGATGTGTACTTATGCAAGATGGTCAGGTCGTTGCTTATGCGTCACGCCAGCTTAAACCACATGAATAGAACTATCCGACGCATGACTTGAAATTAGCTGCAGTTGTTCATGCCCTTAAGATTTGGCGACACTATCTATACGGCGGTCAATGCGAAATCTTTACCGATCATAAGAGCTTACAGTATATCTTTACTCAGAAGGAGCTCAACATGAGACAGCACCGTTGGTTAGAGCTCGTCAAGGATTATGATTGTATGATTCAGTATCACCCGGGAAAGGCGAATGTTGTTGTTGATGCCCTAAGCCATAAGGTGAAAGGTGACTTGACATACGTTGTTACTCAGCAGAGTCAGTTGATACGAGAGTTCGCCCGGATGCGGATTCAGGTAATTGATGCACTTCCTACCTCCAGTATGGGGAGTGTGAGGTCCATGCAGGTTCAGCCGACGCTGAGGGAGAGAATCCGGCAAGAGCAGGCTTCAGATGAGTTTATTCGTATGCCAAGGTTCGTGCCGGAGGCGTCGAGGGTTTTCACCGAGGCACTGATGGGGCCTTGGAGTTTCGTGGCAGGATTGTGGTGCCGAAAGTCGAAGCATTGAGAAAGGAGATTTTATCTGAGGCTCATACCGCACCCTATCCAGCCCATCCAGGAAGTACAAAGATGTACCATGACCTGAAAGGGTCGTTTTGGTGGAGAGGATTGAAGAAAGACGTGGCCGACTTTGTAAGAAAATGCTTAACCTGTCAGCAAGTCAAAGCCAAGCATAAGAGTCCCATAGGCCTTCTACGACCACTGCCGATTTCGAGGTGGCAATGGGAGGAGGTTGCGATGGATTTTGTCACGGGGTTACCGAGGTCGTCTGAACATCACGGCGCTATCTGGGTCGTGGTCGACAGATTGACTAAGGTTGCTCATTTCTTGCCAGTATCGATGAGTATGTCTTTGGATCGGTTGGCTGAGATTTATGTCCATGGGGTCGTTCGACTCCATGGAGTACCTGTTACTGTCGTGTCAGACAGAGATCCCAGATTCACCAGTAGATTCTGGAAGAGTTTACACGAGGCGATGGGTACGAAGCTAGCCTTCAGTTCAGCCTACCATCCCAAGACTGACGGACAGACGGAGCGGACTATACGGACGTTGGAGTATATGTTACGCGCTTTGATTGTTGACAGGGGTACTAAATGGGAATCGTTATTGTCGTACGTCGAGTTCGCGTACAACAACAGTTATCATTCTTCTATTCAGATGGCTCCTTATGAGGCACTATATGGTCGTAAATGTCATTCCCCTCTTTATTGGGACGACGTCGGTGAACATCGAGTACTCGGTCCGAAGCTGATCGAGGGACAGCCGAGCAAGTCGAGTTGATCCGGCAGAGACTCAGGACAACTCAGAGCAGAATGAAATCAACCGTTGATCATCATCGACGAGATATCCAATTCGAGGTTGGCGAGCACGCTTTTCTCAGAGTTAGTCCATTTCGCGGAGTTGTTCGATTCAGGAAGAGAGGGAAGTTACACCCTCGATTCCTTGGCCCGTTCGAAGTACTCGAGCGAGTGGGCGATGTTGCGTATCGTTTAGCCTTACCTCTCGAGTTATCCAGTATTCACAATGTTTTTCATGTATCTATGTTACGAAAGTACGTGTGCGACCCCGATCATGTCATTCCTCATACCGATATTGAGATTCATCCAGACTTATCTTACGAGGAACGACCGGTAGCTGTGTTTGACCGACAGGTTCGACGGCTCCAGAAGCGTAATTTTCCCCTCGTTCGTATTCAGTGGGATCGCCACGGAGCCACTTGGGAGCAGGAGGCTGACATTCATGCTCGTTTTCCCGACTTTAAGTTTTGATGTGTATATTTTTCATGTACATATATATATTTTTGTTTTATATTTCCGAGGACAGAAATATTTTAAGGAGGGTAGATTGTAATAACCCAACTTCTTGTTGGTGAAATGATGTATTATCTTTTATTAATTCCGTTCATTTCAGCGAATACGTTCGATGTTAAGTCGAAAAGTTTATCCGGTTAATTATTAACTGAATCAAAATTCGATAATTCATTTCCGAACTGTTTATTTTATAAACGGATATTTATTAATCGGGATTAATTATTAATAGTCAATAATGTTCGGAATTAAGTTCAAATCGAAAATAAGCTAAGTCTCGGACATGCACATCATTCATGCACGCAAGTCATGCATCATTGTGCGAGACCGAACGTTTACGCACATGTGCAGCCGTGCACAATGCACGTTGCCGCACGTAACACACGCACGGTGCTAAGTTATCGCCCGTCATTAGCTTATGCTAAGCTAAACACTACGATCAAGTTAAGTAATCTAGTTTCCAACTCCTTAGTGATGCCGTGAGAAATTTACCCAAGATAAACGTTGGGTGCAAGTGGTGATCATGAGTCACCTACTTGCTTGGTACACATGGCACCACATGAAGCCACAAGTGGTGACTAAGCCCATGCATAGGACGCCACCTAGTTCTTTTCATGCCACATAGGGTGATGACAATGCAGCCATATTGCCACCAATTCGTGTGGTAAAAGCAAGTGGACCAATAAGTGTTTGGCCCCAAATTCACCTCCATCCGTCTCCATTATTTAATAAGGTAAAATGCATGAGTTTTTCCCATGCAATTTCGTACAAAACAAGCCAAACTTCAGCCTAAAATTTGAGTGAAAAATAGTGAGAAAACGTTGGAGAAAAATCATACAAAAATCCCTAAGGGTAGCCGAGGATAAAGGAAGTATACGCACACCACCGTACGCGCCGTGCAAACTCTCGCAAGCAACTGTGCAACTACCGTCCGAACTGAAGGGTATACACTTATTTACCCTCTTTTTATGTAGTTTAGTTCATATCAGAGAGGTCATGTCAAAGTCATGTCGTTTAGTTTAGGTTTTGC